GAATTCTCATGACTATCAAATTTACCATTACTGGTACTATTGTGTCATTGGAAACTACAAGAAAATACCATCTGGTTCCCCCATGTGGCTAGTTCAGATATTGCACCTTCACACCAGAGAAAAATGCAGAAGACATTTGGCAGATAGCTTAGCCTTATTCCTTTGAAAAGAAGTAATGCGGCAAAAAGTAACAAGTAATTAGAGTAACTTGTTAGGGAAATTATTCAGGAAACTATTCTGTATTGAGAGATACCACATTGTAGCTGCAACAGGGGAACCAGGAAGAATAGCCTGTGGACTGAGAACTTCAATCAAGGTTAAAAAAAAATCTTCTTAAATTTGGACTGAATTCGCATGTTTTCCCTCTACATCTACCAAAATATTCCCAATGCAAACACATGGAGACTTCTTGAGGAATCCATTGTTCTCTGCCACAAAGAGGCCTGTGGCCTCACTTGAATGGAGACATATTGGATTGCAGAAGAGGGGTCCCTGTTGAGATGCAAATGTATTTTAAACTTCCTAGACTTTGCAAATCTCCCTATAGCCACATCATGGCCAGAAGGAAGAGGATCCTGCCTACAAAAGATATCCTCCCCATAATATACCATCTTAACTAAAGACTGAAACACCATGTAGGCATCTGACTAACATCTCCAATTGTTGTTCTCCAGTTTGGTTTGTAACATGTTGCCTGATGAAGAAGAAACCCATGGAGCTTCGAAAGCTTGCAACAAGTATATTGTGCATTTTGGTTGGCCAATAAAGATATCACTGATGGATTGTTGTTAGAGAAACTAGTTACTCCCTCATTCTACCCAATCTTTTGAGTTTTCACTTGCAGCATGCCATGATGCAACAAAGACACAAGATGGCCAGTTAGGAGCAAATGATTTCCTACTCCCACAACTGAACATTTTGAGTCAAAAGGAACTTACCAAGGGGGCATTTTCATCATGGAGTTTTCTTCGCCCTGCAAAACAAAATTGGTAATAAAATTTACTCCCCATTTAATTGGTTAGGAAATATTGCCCCTTTAAGGTTAATGAGTGGAGCCTGTTGATGGAGTGATGAGAATAGTTTACTTAACACACATTGCAAGGTGGACTCTAGCTTGGAAGCCCAGGGGAACTGCAAAGAAGCAATTAAACCAGTTTTATATAAAATTCTGACAAAACCTTACAGAGGCAGCAACTGAGCAACAAAAGAGTATGTTGTTGTTGTATGCCTTCAAGTTGTTTCCAACACGGCAAACCTAAGGTGAACCTATTACGAGGTTTTCTTGGGAACATTTTATTCAAGGGTAGTTGCCTTTTACCATCTTCTGAGGCTGAGAGAGTATTATTTGCCTAAGATCACTCAGTGGGTTTCCATGGGCAGGCAGGAATTCGAACCCTGGGTTTCAGAGTCATAGTCCAATGCTCAAACCATTACACCACATAGGCTTTGATAGTCATACAGACTTATACAAACACATTAAAGTGGGTTTGCTCTTGGACTTCCTTTAGTGTGTGACTTCTCCATTGTCACCTTGTGGGATTCTATGGCTGAGTGGGGATTTGAACCATGGTCTCCTGGAGTCCCAGAGCTTGTCAACACGATTAAAATACTCCTCATTCAATTCAAATAGAATGTGGTCTGGCCACACACAACTTGGGGGATTCAGGCTTTTTGTGAGGGGTGTAAAAAACTCCATAAACTCCTCTGAAAAAAAATTCACAGTTTTTACTGGAGTATCCACAAATGTCAGCAAGAATGCAAATTATCAAACGTGTGGCCGTTGGTTCTTTTCACATGAATTTGCATGGCTGTGCATTTCCGACAAAGGAATGGTAAATAGGTGTTAATTTGCTCAGGAAAGTGGAGACAATTAAGCGTTGATATGGATGTGTGAAAATCCATGGCAATTCGCATTATACACTTATGTGTAGACTAGCCCCCAGTCCAACAATCAAACTATCATACCTTGCCAGCTCTTCAACAATCCTAATGGGACTTCACAAGCTAAGAGTCCTTCTGTATGTTAATAGTGATGGTTTATTCAATCCCTAATCAATAAATTCTGAAGCTAATCTGGAAAATGGTAACCATGCTATGCAATCCGGGTAAAGGCTGCAAGGATCCAAGTATGGCAAAATGGTGTGCATACCTTGCTTTCGCCAGATGACATTAAGGAAGAAACATAAAAATCCCAGCACCAAGACCAAGACCAATCCAGAGAGTCCAATGGCAAGAGGGATTTTGTGGTCAGTGTTTTCATCAGTGTTTTCATCATTATGGCCCTGGTCCTCCTCCTCCTCCTCTGGTAATTCAGACTTTGGTGCAAATTCTGTAGATTTCAAAGACAGAGGCAAAGATGTTCAAGGGGTGTGAAACTTAGACTCTGGTCAAAAACAAAGTCCATTGATTAACTGAAGAAAACCATACCTAAAATGCTACATCAACTATACAGTCTAACTTACGTTCATGGAGTTAAGCATCAGTTGTGCGATGCCACATCATTAGCCAATTGCAGCATTGTGGAACTGAATAGGCAAAGAAACATGCAATGTGGACATGCTATGCAATATGCAATGCCCAGTGTACACTTCCATGCCCAATGCGCAAACCCTTTTTCATAACCTTAAACTGAATGCAGACTTTGTGCATTGTACAAACAGGAAGTGTGGGAAAGCCAGCACAAAAAGGAGTGGCAATTTTTCGCTTCTTTTTTTTTTTTTTTTTTT